TTTCATGATGACCGTAGAAACTGACTGGCGTCGACTACTAGCGCTCACCAAAATGTCAAAAAAGATCGGTGACGAGGCAGTAGCTGTCGGGCGGCCCATGATGAATCAATATGGATGGCTGGATATTGCGAGCAAATTATAACTATTCGTATACTTTATGCAAGAAATGTGACCAGAGCAGACAGAGAGCCCACCTCGTCAAGAAAGTTGCACTTCAGCAAGGGAGCGCTGTCCTTGTGAAAGCATCAACATAGTGCCTACAATCCTGGATGGTGCAGATCTCCGGACGTGAGCTCGTTGCCCAAGGTAGGAACTAGGACTATTCTTGATGCATCCTATCAGCCAGACACTGTCAGTCAGACACTGCCGCTCATGTCATGTCATGGCGCCTCTTATGGAGCTATTGCTATGGCTAACTACCAATGAGGCAATCCAGTGCTGTAGTACCTTCAAAGAAGAGCCATGGTGGCCCTGTCTTACCAAGACCCAGCTTCCCTGCGAGCTTCTCCATATGATAACGATTTATCCAACTCCCTCCAGCCCTTGCTATCTTTTATTGAAGCCTTCAAATAAATTCTAAATCAAAGCGAGCCTCTGACTGAGATTGTTCGAGCGAAATAGTAAATACTTCTAAATAAAAAGAAGTGATCACGTAGCAACGTCAACACTCTTAGTTTTAGTACTCTGATACTGATCCTTAAATAATTTATCGACTGAGATGAATTCGATTCAAAATGGTCAGACTAAAAACCCCACGTATTAACATAGTAACTAGTTGGTGTAATTCATTTTTCAAGATCCTCAACAGCATCATCGACAACAAGACATCTTCTGGACAATGCACCCAAGTCCCACTGCGCGAGATGACCACTTCTGAGCAGAAGGGCACACCGCACCTCTTTAGCAGAAACGCCCCCTCTCGAAAAAGCCACTACTGTGCGACTAAATTACAAACGAGCGCAAATGAATGGCAGCGGGCGTCAAATTTTGGCCAAATCATGCAGGAAATCTGGCGGGCGATGACTGTCTACAGTTATAGCTGGCGCTCGCCTACTCGTGTCGCGGATGTACTAGTTACTACGATGTCCTTGTTCTTCCCACACGACGAATAGTAGCTATTACAACTGCCGCCAGCTATTCGGCTTTAGCAAAGTAACCCACTTGCAGCGCAGATGCAGAAGTTGCGTATAACATCTCGAGAGTTTGAGTTGCAGAAGAGTCTATATCCAGAAATATGCCGAATGTAAATGACGACGATAATTAAACGATGATAATGATGACGATGATGATGGCATCGAGTTTGCCTGTGTACTTCCCAGCCTTGACAGTACGCAAAGACGCCATCTATTGAAAAATAACACCTGTACAGCAAAGCGCCCGAGTTCACCTCTCGATCGGAGGACGATCGTGAGCGCTGTTCCTGAAAAGGAGCGCTCACCATCACTATAGCAGCTCAAGTAGCCCTTCTGAACTACTGCCAAGATCGATCAAGAATGACTGGAGCACTTGCACTTGAAAAAATAGTCTAGAATGGCTGATACTTCTAGCAAAAAAATGGAAACGCTGCTTCTGGTCAAGGCCAACATATTCCGGCGCCATCTTCTAAATCAAT